CAAAACTGTATTAAATACTGCTGTCAGTAAATGTGATCAAAGATTAAAACAGCATTTTTATTTGAGCTCTTCTTCATTAAAAACAACAAATCCGGATTTTCATTTCCCTTTCCGGTTTGTACTTTACACAATCCAAGATGGCGACCATCACTAACTCAATACACACGCTATTTCAGCGTTGTCAAATGCAATCATATGTGAGTAAATTAATTTATAATAGATGTAATAAGTGTTTGTTTTGTTAATCCAACAGTAGGTACCTCAATTAATCACCTGTTGACCATGCTAAAAGGATCCGGTGGTAATTGCTTTAGGCTCCAGTGAGCACGCTTGCCGGACACCTGTGGGCTTGTCGTCCGGTCCCCCTCCCCACTAATTACAGCCCCCCTGTGGCAATACGCCTATCGTGCAACTGATCATGACCAGTGGGGTCATTGCTGGACTTGGGTCAGCCGTGTGATTTAATCAGTGTCAATTTCTTGCGTAAAAAGACCACCTTCAGTACAAATAACAAGGTGATGCGGTTCACAGTCTAAGGTGATACGGGTCAATTAAGCTGATACGGCAGGGAGGATTTCAAACTGAAGCTGATACGGAGCCGTATCAGCTAAATGGCCTGGGGAGAACCCTGGATTTCTTTGAAACTTAGTAGGCTAAGTAATCATACGTTGTTGTGTTAATAAGGAATCGGTACCCTTTGTTCAGTGGTGTTTCATAGCCTATGATTAGTACTAGCTGGGGGGATAAAGGTTTGCATCACTTTGTCTGGGGCATATCTCATATGCTCTGCCAATATTGGCCTTACTTGATCTGAAAAGTTCTTTCATGGTTCTGACTTTTAATATTTCTCCAATTTACTAGATAAATTTTAACCAAACCTCTCGTACAAATTTTCCTATCGTTGCCCTAACAAGTATTATCATTTTAATTCTGGTGGTCAGCAAGGCCATCCTTAAAATATTCCTTGTATGGCATTGACCGACCCACCCTACCAGTACTCGGGTAGGTAGGTAGGTAGGTAGGAAAAATATTTTATTTTATTTGAAAAAATATGAAACAATCATTAATTAAATTCAATAAAAAGTTTTTAATTCACTTTGTGAATCAATGTCAACAGCAACGACAACAAGAACTAATATATCTGGTACATACACAACCCTAAGTAACTTGGAATGACTAATTTGAAATCATAAAGATACCAATGTACATGAATTTGAGTAACTATTCAGGTAAAATTCATACATGCAATGCATGTACAAGATTTGTGGATACCTCACCAGTAGACACTTTTTGGAAGATTGAGAAAAGATAACTATAACTGTTTATATAAAGCTTGGTATCCAAAAGAGTATCATTTTCAGAAATCTTTATTTGAATATGACTAGAGTGCAATACATAAATCATTGAATGCTGAAAGCACCTATTAAATATTTATTTTCCAAGGAAGTCTGACAGTTACAGGACAACTGCATATTAGCCAATAGACTTTTTAATCCAAATTTATAATACAGACTATAGTAAAATAAAAGTATACTTCTTGAGACCATGACATTGACTAGGATATTTAATTAACTGACTGTACACATTTTAAAGACAATATAATATGGACTAGATACAAAAACATACATCCTATAAAGTATAGCTAATCTAAATATTGACAAAGAAATGTGTATGTATGATTGTAAACCAATTAGACTAGATTTATTATTCCGTAATTTTATATAACAATATTATCTGACAGTATCCATATTCTGTTATAAAAACATATCCTTGTCTCTTTGTCAAATACTGAGGGAAATTATGACTAGAATATACACTGACTGTCACTTATAAAACCTAATTTCCGTTTCACAAATAGTCAAAGGTTTATCACGATCCATCAGGTATTTGTTCTCCATTGTGTGCAAAATTTAAATATTTTTATTACAATCAGTCAGTACTCCTATAACATAAGAGGCCGCTAGTCGGCCTTTTTTCTATCCAATATGAATTTTGCCGACTGCGGCCTCTTATGTCCGAAGCACTGAATTATTCATTCTTTGATGCAGATTCCACCCGAAATCCGGGCGGAACAAAATCTGCTTGAAAAACTCACTTAGGTGATTTAACAGTTCATGACAACAATGTCTACTCACGGTTCATATAATATATATCTCATGTATGCCACAGACACATATATATAGTATATTAGTACGGAATATAACACTCAAAATACATGTCCATGTCGTTGTAGCACATCTCTGACCTACTTCAACCACATGGCTTCCTGGGTTGATACATAATAGCAGGGAGAATTTCAAATGGAACGAAATGAAATTGAGTTTGTTTGTATTTCGCTTGTAGAACATTACATGTAATCCATTTTTGTATTAACTGGAAAATCATGGCAAATGTTGTCTGCTTCACTTCGAAAGAGGAAAAACTCATTATTTATGTATTTGACACGAAATTCTTCTTATCTAATTAATAATTTATAGAAAGGAATATTTATTGGACCCTGTTGAACATTTAAATGTATGTAAACACACTATACTTTTTAAAAATCCGAACTTTGAAAATTTGATAGTCAGCATCGAGAACACAGCGCCTGTCAAAAGTATTAACCTCTAACATTGTTGGAGTACGTCAGTCAGGTGTTTGTTAGCAGAACAATGCCGCATTAAGTGTTTTTAATGAGTAGGTAAAACTAAAAAGGAACTGAAATCCGGAATGGTTTGGATTCCGAAAATAGCGATCGTAGATAAAATAAAAAATAATAATTTGGATACATAAAAAAAAAATCAGTCGGGGGGGGTTATTTTCAGGTCGGTAGGTCAATGCCAAACAAACAATATTTTAATTTAGGCCCAACTAGGAAATCTGGAGATCGCCACCATGGTCTCCAGTCAACTAAAAAAAAAATACAGTAAGAAAATAGTTTCTGTAGCTCTAATTGTACTTTCATTCATACCGATATTCATGAAACATCCTTTTCTTTTTACAGTGTACGTTTGAAGGCTGCGGGAAAAGATTTTCTTTGGATTTCAATTTAAGAACGCATGTTCGCATCCACACAGGTGATAGACCATATGTGTGTCCATTTGACGGTTGCAACAAGAAATTTGCACAATCCACAAACTTAAAGTCTCACATCTTGACACATGCAAAAGCAAAGTAAGTACACATCAATGTTTTGTTTTATTGGTGACATTTCTAAAAGGTTCTCCAGTTTCCAAGCTATAATACACTGGTCAAGAAGTTGATACTGATAAACTGTTCACCACAAATATATAACAAATCCATTCTAAAAAGGATATAATTTAATTATATAAGTTCACAGGGTTTACAGTTCCACTAGCCCTTTGCCCGAGGCTAGTACATTTTATGTCTGCGCTAGGAAAAGTATATCCTGCAGATTTATGTTTCAAAGTTCATTTTGAAATATTGATATTTGCTTTTTCAGGAATCAGACATACCAGTTACCAACCACACAGTAAGTAATTTTAGTAAGGGATTGACAGTGAAGAAATGAATTGTAAACTTCTCTTTGTAAATGAGTCAGTCTCGTCCACCATAATATTGATTTAATTTCCATTAAATCACTTGATTTGATAAAATATTTGGAAATGAAAAAAAAAAAAATTGATCATTTCTACTTTAACAGACTAGATGTAATATCAATCACAATGTTTGTATTGGTGAAGTTCTTTTAAAGGGAAAGTGAGAAATTGTCGCCCAACCGCCTCATGTTATTTTGATTTTAAACGAAAAGTGAGAAATTTGTCGCCCAACAGCCTCATGTTATTTTATTTTTGAGTAAAGTATGCGATTCCAAACAGTGATCAAAATGTTAATTAAATTGTAGTTGGTAACAAGTTGACAATAAAATGTTTCTATGATAAGCATTAGTGGGTGTGACGATATCCATTTAATCAATGTACATCTACACTTCTGTCTTTTCCCCCAGAGAAACGATGCTCATTGGATACACATTTGAGGAGCAATGAACAACGACTTGTAATACAGATTTTCGGAAATGTACGTATACTTTCAATAATTATGGATTTAGGTCGAATCGGTATATTTAAGAAAACGTCACTGATTTAACAAATCCAAAGAGCTGTGTTTAGAAATTGACATGCGTATGTTGTTGGTTCACCTTATTGCTATGTTTGAAGATAGAGACCAGCCGAAAAGGTTTAAGATATTAAATGTATTGATAATTTCTAGATATATCCAGGTCATAACTGATGATTATTTCTGTTCATTTGAGCGGGTATATTCTCAAGTATAACCTAAATAGTTCGAAAATGTTGCATAAATGTCTTTACACTAGGGAGACTATATTACGGCCAGTTTTGACTTTATGATACTGTGGCTATATGGTGAAGACATAAATGTCATGGTTTTAGGTCCACTATTTGCAAAAGTATTGGGTACTTTACAAAATTAATCATCAGGAGTGACAAAGAGTTAACTGTGCAAATGTGAACTTAATTTGATGTTATCTTCTAAGGGAATGAAATTATAATTATAATTGACTGTCAATGCATTGCATTGGGAGGTAAGCCTTTGTAATCTGTTGATATTTCAATGTGTTGTGCTATCTCAAAGTAACCACTGGTTTTGAAGAGTATGACATCACATATTTTGAAAATAGATTTCAATATTTTTCAGAGCACTTCTGGACCCTGAGGAATTTCAGAGGGAAACATACATCTTCCAGACACAGTTTAAATAGATTTAATGTGACTGAATCTTGTGTACTGTTTTGGGATTGATTGAAACAAACACATGTTCCTTCATATTCCCTGGTGATCTAAAGAGTGAAAAGGACAGTTTCCTTTCCCTTGTTGTCACAATGGAAAACAACATCTTTATAGACCTTTGTCATCACCACAAATCCTGCAATTTTCAAAACTCGGCCATATTGTTGCAGCAAAAATATGTGATTTTCAAAGCACAGAATCAGCAATTATTTATAGAAGACATTTTCAGAAGCAAAATATATATAAAAGTACACTTGTGTATATATATCATATCTCTGAATGTGATTTCAGTTGCATCTTCGAAGATTTGTCAGTCAACTTTGTCATTAAAACTCATTTTTCATTATATTGATTTTGGAGGATTGTAAATGCCAAGAAGTATGATTGAAAGGAGGAAAAGGGTGGGAGAGAGAAAGAGAGAGAAAGAGAGTGGGAGAGAGAAAGAGAGTGGGAAAGAGAAAGAGAGTGGGAGAAAGAAAGAGAGTGGGAAAGAGAAGAAAAGGAAGAGTGAAGAAAGGAAACAGCAATGAAATCTGTGTGATAGTCATTTGTGTGAAACTACATTGTATACAGGCATTAAAAAGTGCATTACTGGTAATGTGAATATATGGGATCTTGCATTACAATTAAGGTAGCAAATTTTATTTATTTAAAGGGAAAAACATTATTTTCTTTTTAGTAAACAAATTATTTGATTACATAATAACAAGAGTATGTTTGTGATATTTTTAAGTGGGATTTAATTATTCTGTGAACAAGAGTGATATGCAACGAATTATGAAATGCAAGATGTGTACATCTGTACTAATGTTTTACAGTTCTGTATGTCATAGTGCTTAAAATCAACTGTTTGGATACTTAAAACACTTCTATTGCCTGGTTATAGAAAACTGATCAGGGAAATATCATTTATTAACATTAAATTATGTAGTAATATTTTTAATTTCGGCCGTTGTGCATACATAAATGACTTTTTAAAAACATCAGAAACATAATGATCACATGATGCACGTGTTAAGTATTAAGTGGACCTCTTAAGCATTTAATATAATTATTGTGTACAAAATTATTCTAAAATGGTTATTTTTTCACCTTTCTTGTTGAATTATTCTTATTACTTCATAATTTTCCTCGTTTTGTTATCTTAAACGCATGAAAAACAGTCGGACCAAGTTTTGCCATGAAGTTCCCTTCTACAAAATTAAACTCTGAAAACTGATATGTAGGAGAGGAGAGGTTTTGTGGTTTGGAACTTTGGAGAACAGAAAGCTAGGCATGTCCGATTACAAATAGCATACTCTCCTTGAATTATTTTTCCTTGTGATGCAATAATATTTCAAAACAGTTGAAAAGTCAAAGATTGGCTGCTATTTCCAACCCTGGATATTGGGGACTTCAGATACTTGTGTTTTATGGGTAACTTTTTTTTAACTTTTAATCTTTACCCTCATGACAGCTCAGTCAGTAAAATGATAAAATTTAACAATTTTTGTACAAATGCAAATCACTATTTTTTTTGCCGACAACAAAGTCTTTTGTTTTGATGAGTTACGACTTAATTTATTGATCTAAATATTCGAACAGTGTGTCGTGCAAGAAATCCTACAGTAGATGTGACAAGGATCCTTTAGATTTCGTACTGTCGAGATTTGTTTTCTCAGCTGAAGGATGTGTGTCTTTGTCCACCAGTGATTGACTATCATTAATATAGTTTTAGAATTATATTTGTATAAAACAAGATCTGCCAATGTTACCATTTCTGAATTAGCAATAAAGGATATTGTCACCTGGTAGTTTTGGGACATCAAATAATAATAATAATAATAAGTACATACTCTGTAGTTCCAGCTTATGAATCTGACTCTCTGTAAATTGTTCCTATTTAGGAGTGTGAAGGACTCTTGTCATATCTACTGGGTTTGACCCCCATTCAGCTTTGTCCGACTCTTACAACCATACTTTGTCATCACAAGGCACAACCTTGCCTTATATTGTAAGTTTGTAAATAAACACTTACATACAATCATTCTGATCTTGCTTCACCTTTTAGCTCGCCTCACACAAAGTGCCTGTTGAGCTTTTGGTATGGTGTATTTTCCGTCGTCCAGGTCTTTTTCTTTGATAGACTTTTTTTAAAGAACTGAAGGACCTAGGGCGGTGAAATTTGGGCGTAAGTTACCTAGGACAGAGTGCTATAATGTTTCCTTAAATAAATTATGGTGACCTACTTTCAAGATCAAGGGTCAAATGTGTTAAAAACAACCTTTAATCATCTGAATAACCACAAGGGGTATAGAGCAAAGATATTTGGCCAAATGGTACCTGGTACAGAGTGCTATAACATGTCCTTTCACGCTCTTTCACGCTCTTGGGGTCAAATATGTAAAACTTTTTAAAGAACTAATTTGGAACAACTAGAAGGCCCAGAGTAATGATAGTTGGCTAGGAGGTACATGTCATGAAGTGCTATAAACTTTCCTCAAATAAATTACATTGACCTACTTGTAAGATCACAGGTACCTGAGATGGAGTGCTATAAAATTTAAGTTAAAATCTTAAAACAAGTTCTACCAAATAACCAAGAGGCCTAGAGCAATGAAATTTGGCATGTTAGTACCTGGGACAAAGTGCTATTAAGTTTCCTCAAATAACCTTGACCTACTTTCAAGGTGTTTTGGTCAAATATGTTTAAACTTTAGACCGACGACTTAATAACTAAGACACATGAGGTCATGATACCTTGCCAGTAGGTATCGGGAGATAGAATGCTATAAGCTTTCCCAAAATAAATGACCTTGACCTACTTTAAAGGTCACAGGCATCAAATATGTAAAAACCCTTTAAACAACTTATGAAGAATAACCAGGAGACCCAGGGCAATGACAGTTTGCTGGTTGGTACCTTGCAAGGGGTGCTATAAAGTTTCACAAATAAATTACCTTGAACTACTCCCAAAGTGAAATATGGTTAAAACAAAAAACAAAACAAAACATTTGAACAGTCTGTTGGGAAAGGGTAAGCTTAAATTTTCATTTGGCCAGGAACATTCCTAAGGCAAGGACACTCAATAAATGGAAATATTTGCAAAATTACTTTTATTGAGAATATTTTCCCATGATTACTCAAATATCAATGTGAGCAATACAATGCTTGTATTGTTTTGGGCTATCCTGACCCCCATGACTCCTAGCTTTTTCCACTGTTTGGTTTCCTGAAACTAAGGAAGTCTATGGGTGGTACTGGTACACCTTAAACAAAACATAGAGCCTGGTGTTGGATAAGATGATTTACTGGAATAGCCTTCATTTCGAGTGAAGGCTTTTCAAGTATTTCATGGGCAACAAGACAAGAAATTTCAGTCTGCTCATCTGACGTATCATCTTTCCTAGCTCTTATGTTTTTAGGTAACCCAAGTCACTGTAAACAATCTTATTTTTAACTTCTCAGAAACTATCGGATTTAGATCAAACTTGGTGAACATCAGCCTTTTGTGTCTATCAAACCTTCCAATCTATGATCGAGAAGCAAAATTTCAAACAACATCGCTGAAACTTCTGGAAACTTTTAACCAATATTCCATATAATGAAACTGGTTCATGATAGGAATTTCCACTTAAAAAAGGTGCTGATCCCTTTCCCATGGGTTATTAGGTGCTAGGGCCATAATCAAAGTAATTAATAAGTGTTAAACCTCCAAATGACACAGATCTATGAATGCTAGAGGTGGTTTAGACAACCCTTGATAAATCTGTACACAAGAATCGGCAAAGTGGTTGAGCCACAAGAGGTACAAAATGGAAAACATTTTAGGTGACCTCTGCTTTGAAACTTTTTGGATGGATTTTGACCAATATTTCGTGATCTATATTAGAGAAGTGGCTAAACCTCCAAGGGGCCACTGATCATAGTTGAAAACGTTCGAAGGATATCTTTGTAAGTGACAATGTGTTTCAGCAGAAAATATGCATTGCTTTGCAAATATTTCAGTACATTTGTTGAGCAATATTGCATCAAACTCAATCTGGATTTAGAGAGAGTCACTCATGTCAAACAGCTTTGACAAAAAATAAAGATAGCTGGCTTATTGACATTGATAAAGGAAATATGGTAGGTTCAATATTCTTGGATATGAGAAAGGCTTTTAATCTTGTGGACCACAAGATTCTATTAGAAAAATTGCATCTGTATGATTTTAGCACATGTTAATTACAATGGATATCTTCTTATCTTTCTGATAGAACTCAGCAGGTCCAAATTAAAAACGATTGATCAAAGCCTGAATTAGTTAAATATGGTGTCCTCCGAGGATCAATACTAGGTCCTATTCTATTCCTGTTGTATATACATGATTTACTATTACACACAACATCTACAACAGTTAATTTGTTTGTTCTCTCTCCTCTGTTCACAGTGTTCTCTCTTCCTGCTCAGTGTTCTCTCCCCTCTGCTCAGTGTTCTCTCTCCTCTGTTCACAGTGTTCTCTCTTCCTGCTCAGTGTTCTCTCTCCTCTGCTCACATTGTTCTCTCTCCTCTGCTCAGTGTTCTCTCTCCTCTGCTCAATGTTCTCTCTCTTCTGCTCACAGTGTTCTCTCTCCTCTGTTCACAGTGTTCTCTCTTCCTGCTCAGTGTTCTCTCTCCTCTGCTCAGTGGTCTCTTTCCTCTGCTCAATGTTCTCTCTCTTCTTCTCACAGTGTTATCTCTCCTTTGCTCATAGTGTTCTCTCTTCTCTGCTCACAGTGTTGTCTCTCCTCTGCTCACAGTGTTCTCTCTCCTCAGCTCAGTGTTCTCTCTCCTCTGTTAACAGTGTTCTCTCTTCCTGCTCCGTGTTCTCTCTCCTCTGCTCACAGTGGTCTCTCTTCCTGCTCAGTGTTCTCTCCCCTCTGCTCCGTGTTCTCTCTCCTCTGCTCAGTGGTCTCTTTCCTCTGCTCAATGTTCTCTCTCTTCTGCTCACAGTGTTATCTCTCCTTTGCTCACAGTGTTCTCTCTTCTCTGCTCACAGTGTTCTCTCTCCTCTGCTCAGTTCTCTCCTCTGCTCACATTATTCTCTCTCCTCTGCTCACAGTGTTCTCTCTCCTCTGCTCAATGTTCTCTCTCTTCTGCTCACAGTGTTATCTCTCCTCTGCTCACAGTGTTCTCTCTTCTCTGCTCACAGTATTCTCTCTCCTCTGCTCACAGTGTTCTTTCTCCTCTGCTCAATGTTCTCTCTCTTCTGCTCACAGTGTTATCTCTCCTCTGCTCACAGTGTTCTCTCTCCTCTGCTCACAGTGTTCTCTCTCCTCAGCTCAGTGTTCTCTCTCCTCTGCTCACAGTGTTCCCTCTCCTCTGCTCACAGTGTTCTCTTTTCTCTGCTCACAATGTTCTCACTCCATCTGTTCAGTGTTCCCACTCCTCTGCTCACAATGTTCTCCTCCGCTCACGCATTCTCGCTCACGGTCGATATCTGTGACGGGTGCAAACTAGACTTTTGCCCTAAATGTGCAGGTATGTCGGAAGCGTTTCTATGTTTTATCACGAGAGGAGAAGCAGACAACCTTAGATGGGACTGCAAAATCTCAAAATATAAGAGTGTCTATTCAATCGTGAAAGAGGAAATTATGAATGATCTCGACACACATGTTGTCGCTTTAGTTGTAATGTTCATTGTGCCAGAAAAACGTATAGAACACGACGCTGCGCGTACAGAACAGGATGGGATAGGCATCAGACTGGTTGCCAGAAGTATAGGGATCGAAAACCTCGACGTACTAACGCACTTTCGTCAAAAACAAAAATACGTCCGCTCAAAGGACTAAACGGCAATCATAGAAAAAATACTACTTGAGAAGGCAATCAAAATCCCCTGGAGCGCCCCAGAGAGACTTAAAATAACCATTATATCGAGGGACTTCACACACACACACACACACACAAAACCAAGAAGAACGTCGTAAAAAATGTGCCAAGAAAAAAAGAAAAAAACCTAAAACGGTAGAGCCCCCATGCCCAATTCAACGAGTACACCCTGAAGTTACAACCAGCCTAAAAGAAACGATTGGTACCCAGAAATTCGTGTCACAAGAACAACATGCCAACAACTTTAACAATGACACCGATGACGACGAATCGACCAGAATATATATGCTCTGGACAGTACAATTGTTGATGAGGACATGCTAACCGCCCCTCAAATCCCTCCATCACCCAACGTTGAAAGATATTACGACCACTGTTTACCAGCACCTGCTCCAAGACTAGCAGATATGTAAATAACATGATTTTTGTTATGTGCAAATGTGGACACTTTAACCAATACCAAGAAACAAAAACTAGAAAATATAATGGCTCGGGAGAGAACGGATATCATCTGCATAATTGAAATCCCCCCCCCCAAAAAAAAAATCTTCTCAATAAAAGGCTATGCAATGTACTTGCCAGTACATAGCAAAAGAAGAACTGTTATCTACACAAGAGAAGAAATCGAGGCTACGAATATAGAGTTTACAACAACATTCCAAGGAATCAACATGCCTTCAAATTAATCTCAAAAACAACGACAAACTGATAATATGTGGTGTATACCATAGTCAAAACAGTACCCAGGAATACAACGACAATCTCAATCGTCTCCTGAAAGAAGTAGTTAATAAAAAGGCATCACATCTATTAAGATAACCTGGGATACAATGAACACAACAGTCAACGTCGGCCACCCTGCATCTATTTTTTCTAGAATATATACAGGACCTTTTTCTTTTCCAATGTGTCGACAAACCGACCAGATTAAGGGAAGGGAGTGTACCCTCTTTGCTCGACATCATACTCGTAAACGAAGAAATATGCTAAACAAACGCGACATTAACTACCTGAGGTAGTCTACCTCCCTGGTGAAGGGAAGAGTGACCACATCACTCTATGTCTTTTAAACTCAACTCCTATGTCGAAAGCTTTGCCATCAAATACACAGAGAAAACATAGGGAACTATACAAGACAACAAGGAATGAAAGGACACCAAAGAAGGATACTCCATCTGTATCATGATTCATGAC